CCCCGCCACCCCCCGGGCTGTCTTGCAGACGGTGGTCTCTCTCTGGCTCTAACTGGCCTTGGGTGGGGTGGGGGTCCTCTTGGGGTACAGTGCCTGGGCCTGTGGGGCACCTGAGCTTCAGTGACATCCTGGACACCTCGCTGAAGGTCAGCTGGCAAGAGCCGGGGGAGAAGAACGGCATCCTCACAGGTGGGCACCGCGCTGTCACGGGCCTGGGGGAGGAGAAGGTCCCCTAGCCCATCCCTCTGCCTCCGACCTGGTGCCCATCCCCAGCTCCCAGCAGCCACTCCTGCTTAGAACACCCTCCGAGGAGGAGCTGGCCCTCCCTCCCAGGAGCACACCCACACTCCCCCACCCCTTTCTTCCCCCATAGGCATGCATCTCCTAGATTCTAAGGGATCCCATGAGGCTTGCAACCAGGGGAGCAAAGAGCAGTGGCAGCTCATCCCGGGCAAACCCCCTGAAACTGTCTCCAAGGCCCCCTAGTCTGACTTCTTAGTGAGCAAAGCCGACCAGCCTAGGCTCATTTCCCCAGCCCTTCCTTGTTCCATTGTCCCCAGCTTCATAAAGGGCCTCTCAGATAAAAAAAATAAAAATAAAAATGCTCACGGCCCCTCCACTCTGTGATGCATCCCCGTGTCCAGCCCCAGCCCTCACATGGCCACCAGGAGGACTTGCTCATCCCCGCCCCTGCCCATGGGGGTGCCCCCACCCCCACAAGCAGCACGTGGGGCCCTGGGCCAGGTGCCTCCGCCTGCCTCAGTCCCAGGGCTCTCTCTGGACAAGTGAAGGCACAAGGGGCAGGGCAGCGGGTCCAGGCCGGCTCACGGCCATGGCCAAGCTCACGCGGCCCGGGGTCCCCAGGGTACCGGATCTCCTGGGAGGAGTATAACCGCACCAACACACGCGTGACACACTACCTGCCCAACGTGACCCTGGAATACCGCGTGACGGGCCTCACCGCGCTCACCACCTACACCATCGAGGTGGCCGCCATGACCGCCAAGGGCCAGGGCCAGGTGTCTGCCTCCACCATCTCCTCCGGGGTGCCTCCAGGTAGGTGCCCAGCGGGGGTTCCCTGCCTCTTGCTCCTGATCGGCACCCACTCAGGAGGTCCCTCGTCCTTCAGGAATGTGGTCTGTCTCCCCACAGAGCTCCCCTCCCTGGGTCCCTGTCCCCCGTCTTCCCAGAGCAGGTCCCCTCATGCGTCCAGGCCTCCTCCCGTGGCTCTCAGAAAAGCAGCTCCCAGCTCCCCCGTGAGCCTCTTGCTCACATGCAGACCCCGGGAGAGGAAGCCCTTGGGGGCCTAGCTCGTTCCCTGGCCCGGGGGCCTCTCTGGGGGGACCCGTCAGCCCCTACGCCTGCCTGTCTCAGGACCCGGTGTGCTGAGCCACGGACGCGGGACAAGGACTGTGTTGTCAGGATGAGGCCACGCCTTGCTCCTTCCTCCTCAGAGGGTCCTAGGAAAAGGGTGACACGGTGCCCTCTGTGCCCAGAGAGTCCTGTCCCACGTGGAGTGACATCCCTCTCGCCCCAAATCCCCCAAATCGCTTCAGTCCTGTCTTCCTTTTTCAGAACTCCCAGGCGCCCCCACCAACCTGGGCATTTCCAACATCGGCCCCCGCTCCGTGACCTTGCAGTTCAAGCCTGGCTACGACGGGAAAACCTCCATCTCCCGCTGGCTGGTGGAGGCCCAGGTAAGGCCTGTGCAGGGGACCCCCGGCGCGCGGGAAGCCCGCTCCCAGCCTCGGGCATGCCCATGCTCCTGGGCGCAAAATCCTATGTCCTCACGTCTGTGTGAACTTTCACGTGCAGCCATCAGATGGGCAAACACGCCAAAAATGGTCCCAACTCTGTCTCACCTCCACCTGTCCACCGGGGCACACAAATGCACACCAGACCCCTCAGGCCTGGGCAGTGACTGGCTGGGCTAGAAAAATAACCAGCTGTCACCTGCAGCTCTTTATTTTTTTAAATTTTATTATTATTATTTGCAAGTGGCAAGATTTCATTTTTTTTTTGGCTGAGTAATATTCCGTTAACTACATGCCCCACATCTGTATCCATTCATCTGTGGGTGGACACCCGGGGGCTTTCATGTCTTGGCTATTGCTAATAACGCTGCAGTGGCATAGGGGTGCACCTTTCTCTTCGAATTCTTGTTTTGGATTTCTCCAGATGGATGCCCAGAAGTGGGATGACTGGGTCGTGTGTAGTTCCAGGTGTAATTTTTTGAGGAATTGCCATACTGATTTCCATGATGGCGGCACCAGTCTGCATTCCCACCATCAGTGCACCAGGGTCCCTTTCCCCACATTCTCGCCAGCATCTGTTGTTGGCTGACTTATTGATGAGCGGCCTGCAGCCCTTGAAACCTGCAGGGGAGCGCTCAGGAGTCCCAGCGCCCAGTCATACCCCCAGGAATTCCAGTTCTCATTTAGCTGGGGTTTTATTTTATTACTAGAGGCCCAGTGCATGAAATTAATGCACTGGGAGGGTCCCTAGCAGCTGCTGGCTGCCAGCTGGGTACTCCCTCCCTTCCCTCAGCTGGCCCTGCCCCCTGGTTGAACTCCTGGATGAATTCCCGGTTGAGGGGACAATTTGCATACTATGCTTTTATTATATAGGATTTTTTCATTTTTAATATACATATTTTTATTGATTTCAGAGAGGAAGGGAGAGAGAAACATCAATGATGGGAATCATTTGATCAGCAGCCTCCTGCACGCCTCACACTGGGAATTGAGCCCACAACCCGGGCATGTGCCCTGACCAGGAATTGAACCATGATCTCCTGGTTCATAGGTCAATGCTCAACCACCGAGCCACACCCGGTCAGACTAGCTGGGGTTTTAGAAGCTTGGAGGGTATTCTGGGAATCACCTAGGGCAGTGGTCGGCAAACTCATTAGTCAACAGAGCCAAATATCAACAGTACGACGATTGAAATTTCTTTTGAGAGCCAAATTTTTTAAACTTAAACTATATAGGTAGGTACATTGTTATTAACTTAATTAGGGTACTCCTAAGGCTTAGGAAGAGCCACACTCAAGGGGCCAAAGAGCCACATGTGGCTCACGAGCCACAGTTTGCCAACCACGGACCTAGGGGGCTTGTTGAATACAGCTTCCTGGGTACCAGCCTCAGGGATCGGCTCTGTCGAGGGCGGGGCCCAGGAGTGGGTTTATAACATGAGACTCAGATGCAGGCAGGCTGGGGTCACACATGAAGTCACGTTTAAGAGCCTGGACAGATGGTGGCCCCATCTGGTGCACTCCAGGTGAGCCCTGGGGTGTGAATCAGGACCTTCCCTGGGCAGGGCTGGTACCTCTTAGAAGCCAGGGCTCAGAGCGCCTGTCCTGGGCCCGCAGATGGGAAGGTCTAAGGGTGTCTCCCTCGCCAGGTGGGCGTGGTCGGGGAGGGAGAGGAGTGGCTGCTGGTTCACCAGCTCGCCAACGAGCCCGACGCCCGCTCCATGGAGGTGCCCGACCTCAACCCCTTCACCCACTACAGGTAATGGGGCCGGCAGGGGGAGGGCTGCCCAGAGGGGACGGGCTTCGGCCTGGGGGCCTGCCCTCACCATCCTGCTCATCCCCACCCCCACCCCAGCTTCCGCATGCGCCAGGTGAACATCGTGGGCACCAGCCCTCCCAGCCAGCCTTCTAGAAAGATCCAGACCCTCCAGGCGCCCCCCGACATGGCCCCGGCCAACGTGACGCTGCGCACGGCCAGTGAGACCAGCCTGTGGCTCCGCTGGACGGTGAGGCTCCCCGAGGGACTCCTCCATCCTTATCACCTGCAAAGGTGCCATTGCCTCCAAGGGGCCACAGCAAAGGGGGTGTCCCCCAAAGTTCCTACAGCTCCCGTTTTTCTCTCCCACCTCCAGCCTGGAAGGGTGCCTGATCAGCCATCTTAGCAAGTGCCGCGTGAGGAGAGGGGCTAGGAAACGCTGTGTATTGAGCATTGCCCTGTGCCAAGCATTTTTGCATTTTTAATTCCATTTAATCCTCCCAGAAATCCCGCAAAGGACCCATGATCAGTCCAATTTGCAGTTAAAAAAAAGCAGAGGCTCAGAGAGGTTAGGAGTTCACCCACAGCCACACAGCTCCCAGGGGTGGGTCTGGGATTCAGATGATGAGACTCAGATGCAGGCAGGCTGGGGTCACACATGAAGTCACGTTTAAGAGCCTGGACAGATGGTGGCCCCATCTGGTGCACTCCAGGTGAGCCCTGGGGTGTGAATCAGGACCTTCCCTGGGCAGGGCTGGTACCTCTTAGAAGCCGGGGCTCAGACCGCCTGCCCTGGGCCTGCAGATGGGAAGGTCTAAGGGTGTCTCCCTCGCCAGGTGGGCGTGGTCGGGGAGGGAGAGGAGTGGCTGCTGGTTCACCAGCTCGCCAACGAGCCCGACGCCCGCTCCATGGAGGTGCCCGACCTCAACCCCTTCACCCACTACAGGTAATGGGGCCGGCAGGGGGAGGGCTGCCCAGAGGGGACGGGCTTCGGCCTGGGGGCCTGCCCTCACCATCCTGCTCATCCCCACCCCCACCCCAGCTTCCGCATGCGCCAGGTGAACATCGTGGGCACCAGCCCTCCCAGCCAGCCTTCTAGAAAGATCCAGACCCTCCAGGCGCCCCCCGACATGGCCCCGGCCAACGTGACGCTGCGCACGGCCAGTGAGACCAGCCTGTGGCTCCGCTGGACGGTGAGGCTCCCCGAGGGCAGCGGGCGGGACGTCTCCTCCATCCTTATCACCTGCAAAGGTGCCATTGCCTCCAAGGGGCCACAGCAAAGGGGGTGTCCCCCAAAGCACCTACAGCTCCCTTTTCTCTCTCCCACCTCCAGCCTGGAAGGGTGCCTGATCAGCCATCTTAGCAAGTGTATTGAGCATTGCCCTGTGCCAAGCATTTTTGCATTTTTAATTCCATTTAATCCTCCCAGAAATCCCGCAAAGGACACATGATCAGTCCGATTTGCAGTTAAAAAAAAACAGAGGCTCAGAGAGGTTAGGCCACACAGCTCCCAGGGGTGGGTCTGGGATTCAGATGTCAGGTAAGGGCTGCTTCTGAGTTTGAGGGGGAGGGTTCGGCTCTCAGGCTGTCCCCACAGATCAGGGTTATGCCTACCCCAGGTGACCCTGCAGGAGGAAACCATGCTAACGTGCTGAGGGCATTCCCTCCCGCCAGGAACTGTTCTGGATGCTTTATTCAAAGTCAGGCTTTGAGCCCTGTCCGCAGCCTGGCAGGGGAGTCTGGGCCCCAAAACTCAGAGCCCTCAGGACCTTCCAGGGGCACAAAAGCTGGAGCTGTGGTTCTGTTTGAGCTCATGTCCCGGCAGGGAAGGGACATGCGCACACGGCCGCCCCCAGTGGCTGTACAATGGTCTCTGGTCTGTCCCACTGGGTGTCCAGGAGCCGGCCTGGCAGGAGGGAAGATGTGGGGAGTGAGGCCAGGGAATGGGAGAAGGTGGCTTAGGTTGTGGGGAGCCCGTGGGAATGCAGAAGGGGGGGTGAGGGCTGAGGGCTCCCCAGCTCATCTCTGCCAGCCTCAGAGGAGAATCTGAAGGGTGGGCCCGGGCGGACATCTGCTTCTGATCCCCGGCTACCCCAACGTGCATACACCTCTACTGCGTGTCAGCATTGCCCAAGTTTATCCAAACGACCTGGAGCCAGAGACCACAGTCCCACCAGCCAGGGCGTAGGCCCAGGAAAGGAATACATCTCTCCCCTTCACTGAGACGCAAACGAGAAGAAAGGGACTGGAATACAGCAGGAGAGACTGAGGGTTGCTGGGCAGAAGGACTTCCTAACAGTGACTGGTGCCAGTCCACACGCGGGATGCGGTCTCCAGGGCAGGCATGAGCTAGGCCAGGCATGTTGTAAGCAATAAGTAAGTGCACGTGGGCAGCCTGGGTGAGGGAGCCAAGTGGTAGAGACAGCCAGGGCCAACGGGGCCTTGCTCATCTGTGTGTGGGGCAGACAGCCTTGGTGGGCCTGCCTCCCGGGTCTGCCTCCCTTAGCACAATAAAGAATGGGCGCTGCCTCTCCTTGGAGCCTGGCGCGGAGAGATAGGGAGACGGGGGCCATCAGAAGCGCAATTTCACCATCTCAGGACAGTGGGTGGAGTAATCCTGGAGCTCCCTGGAAGAGGAGGCACAGGCAGTTCTTTGTACCCAGGGTGGGCCTGGCCTCACAGCTGTCCTACCCCACCCTTGCTCTCCTGCAGCCCCTCCCGGAGATGGAATACAACGGGAACCCCGAGTCGGTGGGCTACAAGATTAAATACAGCCGGGCAGACGGCCACGGCAGGGTGCTGAGCCACGTGGTCCTGGACCGTGTGGAGCGGGAGTACACCATCGAGGACCTGGAGGAGTGGACGGAGTACCGCGTCCAGGTCCAGGCCTTCAACGCCATGGGGAACGGGCCCTGGAGCCAGATGGTGATGGGCAGGACGCGGGAGTCAGGTACTGCCCCCCCCGAGCCAGCCACCCCGTGGCTTCCCAGGATCTGTGGCCGGGACACCCCCACCTTTGTCTCTCTGCCCTCAGGTCTGCCCAAAGGCACAAACCTGGAGCAGTGGTTCTATTTGTGCTCACGTCCCAGCAGAGCCCTGCATATCTCCTGTCTCTTGGCTATTCCCGCTGCTCACGCTGTGCCCTACGTCCCCCCCTCTATGCCCTCACCTTGAACTCTGACACCAGGGTGCCTGAAAGAGCCTTAGGGGGTGGAGTGGGGTCTGGGGAAGAAAATGGGGCACAGACCCCAAATAGAATAGGGGTTGGCTTATATCCCAGAACATTCCAGAAACACAACCACATCGAGGACCTGGAGGAGTGGACGGAGTACCGCGTCCAGGTCCAGGCCTTCAACGCCATCGGGAACGGGCCCTGGAGCCAGATGGTGATGGGCAGGACACGGGAGTCAGGTACCGCCCCCTCGAGCCAGCCACCCCGTGGCTTCCCAGGGTCTGTGGCCGGGACACCCCCACCTTTGTCTCCCTGCCCTCAGGTCTGCCCAAGGGCACAAACCTGGAGCAGTGGTTCTACTTGTGCTCATGTCCCAGCAGAGCCCTGCATATCTCCTGTCTCTCAGCTATTCCCGCTGCTCACGCTGTGCCTACCGTCCCCCCGTCTACGCCCTCACCTTGAACTCTGGCACCAGGGTGCCTGAAAGAGCCTTAGGGGGTGGAGTGGGGTCTGGGGAAGAAAATGGGGCACAGACCCCAAATAGAATAAGGGTTGGCTTATATCCCAGAACATTCCAGAAACACAACCAGCAGCTCACAGGGGCCTGGCAGGGGGTCACCCAGAGAATCTGAGCCCCCAGCCTGCAGGCCGCCTCATTTGTCCACGTGTGGTTTCCTCCCTGTGGCTTTGTCCTGGCACCTTGGAAATGACAGGTCCCTCCCACCCTGGCCCCTGCCCGCCCTCCCTGCTGTGCTGGAAGGAAATGCAGGCTCATCCCACTGTTAGCCTGAGCAGAGGAGGGGGCAGCTGACCTGAAGAAACAGCATCTGTGACGGGCCACAGCCAGAAGGAATCATGGAGGGAAATTCTCTCCTTGGGGACTGAGCCCCGTTTTCTCCCCGGGCCCCACTCCCCTCCTGTCCACCGTAGGGTCCTGTTTAGGTCCTGACGCCA